TTCAAAAAAGGGTTTAGGGATCCAGCCCGTCGCGATTCGTGAAGGTTAGGAGGCCCACAGCACGAAGCCACCGAGCCCGGAAGCCGGCGCAATCGGTAAGGAAAGCATGGAAGGCTGGTGGTGATAGTCATCTTCATCACAGTACAACTAGCTTTTAGCCAGTAGCGGTGGTGAAGGTGTTGCACCCACTTTTGAGTTTGCGATGCCAAGAAGGGGCTTTCGTCGCCACCTCCATGATGCTAACCAAAGCTTCCCTCACCTGGCTTGACGTCAGTATGCACAATGCCCGAATGGCCCTCTCTCATTTTGTTTTGAGCTTCCCTGTTTGGCTTTGGGCCGATATCATGGGATGAGATTGCAGCAAAGCCATTCGTACAAGTACCCGCCCTGCATCCTCGGGAGTCCTACAGCTCAAAGTTTCAAGGGTGTAAACCCTAAACCCTAAATCAGCCTAAGCCCAAAACGTTTAAAGGTGGTAGGGATTACCTTTGGGGTTGGACCGGATGCTACGACCAAAGTCTACATCATCCTAAACCCTCGGGTTTATAAAAGAGCTCTCAACCCTAAAGCTGAGACCCTAATAGACCCTAAACCTCAAACCCTAATATAGAAGCCTAAATAATTACCAATATTATTCTTTGTGTTCCTTTATGATAAATATATTAGAATGGGTCCCAAAACCGTATTCTAGTCATTAAGGCCCCTACATTAAGCCTCACCCCATCGTTTTGCATGTGTCCGGAAAGTTAGGAGATCATGGGCGTTGCTAAAGGGCCCAGAGCTGTCAACAGGGCAGTTCCCCGACAGTGATGATGCAAGGGGGCGGAAGGCGAAAGACCCCTGTTTGCAGGGACCGGCGGATGTTGGCTTAGGGTTTAGGGTTTAGGGTTTTGGGTTTTGGGTTTAGGGTTTTGGGTTTAGGGTACTTACATTGAACCTTGCACCGCGGTCTCACCAAGGCCCGTGGAATTGATACGGCGCAGAAGAGAAACTTACGCAAGGCGCATAGAGCCAACTGCTGGTGCGGCATGTCCATCTTCTCCCTTTGCAATAAATCCTTTTAACGCTTCTTCGGGCATGGGGCAGCTCGGAGCTTGCAGTGTTTAGGGTTTAGGGTTTAGGATGTAAATCAGTGAGACCTGGATTCTAGATGAGATCACCTGGGCTTCTCTGCCGTTTCCACACCCACAACAGCAACCCTTATTCCTTGCGATCCTTGGCTCAAGGGCCGGCCCCAGAGCATTTAGATGGATGTGCCTAAAACTGGCCTCTCACGCCCTTCGTTGAGACCCGACAGGCGGCAGCAATCGTGGATAAAACGACCTGGACACATGTCAGGTGCGGAGTCCTCCGATCTGGAGGAGAGGGTGTAGCACTACCGTAGGGGCATAGGCATGACTAACACTGGTCCTTAGGGTTCGCTACTAGAACTGTAGTGTTATATTGTGCACAACCCTATTCTAACGGGCAGACTTGATAGCAACTGGCAGAAGCATTGCTATCGATGGATGCACACTGGAAGAACACGCCAGCAACCTTAAAAACCGTGGCAACACAGCGATCGTGATAGTTGTAATTGGACGCACCCTTGATGAAAAGATCCTTGAACCTATCTCCGCAAACAGACCACATCTTCCCGTGCTAACAAGGTTTTCTGTGATGATGGTGATGATCCTGTGGATGGTGATGGAACTTCATGACCATATTGACCACTATCATGGTGGTTAGGCTCAAACCCCAGCGTCAGCATAGACTGTAGACGTCAAACGACCCCCAGAGCAAAGCAGCCTGGATACCAGGACGGAAAGTTAATGTCCCACGTCCATCCCGAAACCTTCAACCCTAAACCCTAGAACCCTAAACCCACCTTCATGAAGACCTATCGGAGTCCCTGCTTTCATGGAGCTGAGTTCGTAGAGCTTTCCTTGATCTTGTGAACCCAATGGTTTCGGGTTTCGGCTTTAGGGCTTAACCCTACACCCCCTCTCCTAAACCCTAAGTCCTAAACCCTAAACCCTAAATCCTAAACCCTAAACCCTACACCCCCTCTCCACCACGCATCCATCAAGTCCAGGAGTGAAGGAGGGTTCAGCGTTGGGCTCCCTGGTAAGGCGGTTTGGGGGTTTTAGGGTTCAAGGTTTAGGGGTTTAGGGTTCAAGTTTAGGGTTTAGGGTTTAGGGTTTAGGGGTTTAGGGTTCAGGGCTGTAGGCTCAGACTTTCAGGCGATTGCACCAGCCCTAAAGCAAAAAAGGGCTTAGGGTTTAGGGTTTAGGGTTTAGGGGGTGCAGCAATGCCTGCAAATGCAGCATCATCCAGAACACGGAGCCTCGAACCGAAATAGATAGGTAGATAAATAGATAGGTAGATAGATAGATAGATAGATAGATAGACAAATCGATAGATAGAACCGGCGCAAGGCTACGACTTCATCTTTTCAGCTGCAGGGACCATGCCTTCGGCTCAGTCGCACTCATGGGTGTCGGATGGGCTTGCTTTAGGG